ATAAAGTACAATATGTACCTCTGAGATGTAGTACAGTAAAGAGTACACTATGTACCTCTGAGATGTAGTACAGTAAATATGGAAGGACACTTCATCACGCTTTCTCCATTATTTGAGCACCCTAGATGGGACTTGATCACGTTTTCTCCACTAGGACACGTGATCACGTTTTCTCCACTAGAAGGACACGTCATCACCTTTTCTCCACTAGAAGGACACGTCATCACGTTTTCTCCACTAGAAGGGAATCTTAGAGGGACCTTCTTCACAGTTTCTTCACAGGAAGGGCACTTCATCACGTTGTCTCCCTTATTTGGGCACCCTAGAGGGCACTTCCTCACATTTTCTCCACTGGAATAGCGCCCTAAAGGGCCCTCCATCATGTTTTTTCCATTTTTACAGCGGCTTTTCGAACATGAGGGCACCCAAGTTCACCAGTGCTGCGTTAGATTATAAAACCTGTCAGATATTCTACAAAACGTGGGCGCAAGGTGATAGCAAGTACTCTCTTGTTTTTCAGAGACTGAGCGCTTCGTCTACATAAGGTCAAGACTTCTGATCATAACCTGCGTACTAGTGTGTGCTCGTAAACACCCTCAGACGCACCCCTCTGACTCTGTCGGTTAGAGCTGTCAATACTGCTCATGTCGTTACATGTCTGAGTGAAACTACAGCAGAATGTTGAATGACAGGTGAGTCACGTCACCTGATTGAACAGACTAAGAATCCACATGCACTGGAAACAGAAGAAGAACGGCCTTTACGAAAGCCAAGGCAAGTTGGAAGAAAGGGGGAATTTCTCCCTTAGCCCCAAACCGCCTTCAAAAGGATTTCCATATGCAGTGTCTGTGCGGATCATGAATTAACCATGATTGCAGAATAGATCCCTTGCAGTAGCTGCACTACATGGAATATTGGTATGTAAAATAATGCGAATGATCCCCAGAAATATGTACGCATGAATAGTTGATCTGGAGTCCATCTGTGTTTTCTACCAGACGAATTAGCTTCAACTGTCATGAGTGGTTTGGTTAAATGAAACGATGTCATAGAAGCATAATTGCACACAAAACGAAATTCATCGTTACATTTTCATCGAATGACATTCTTCAGTGTACCCCCCCCCCCCTCTCTATTCCTTCACACACCGAGACACAGAACCAGCACAATAACATGTGTCCATTAATCTTGTTGAAACCAAAGCAAACAGGAATGAGCACTCTCTCAGGTCTGACAGGGGGGGGGCTGTGAGAGACAGGGAGACAGTGATGGCCGACACCTCGGAGACCGGATGGACTGATGGGTGAGGCGATGTGTGAGTGTTTGTGTCTGTCTGTGTTGAATGTGTGTTGTTAATGAAAGAGTGTGAATAAGTTCTTCAGTCATCTTAGTGGATGGATGGGTGGTACACAGGAGGGGGGGTGACAGCTACAGCTCTGGGAAAGGCTTCTGTGTGTGTGTGTGTGGGGGGGGGGGGGGGGTGACAGATATTTGCTGTGGGTGCATCTCAATACGCTCAAGTTCCTCCCTCCTTGTGTCACTGTTTCTGTTTTCTCTGAGGTAAAACACAAATGAATGAGATGAAGAAGAAGTCTGATGTTCTGTATTTTACTTATTGACAATAAATCGTCAAAAAACAAAAGACCCAATCACAAAATAACTTGATCGTACTTACACTACTACTAACTAGCTGTGTACATAAAGCTTGATATGTCTTATTGATAAGCATCGTAGAGTAATGATGGAAATGTTTTCTGAAAATCAGACACGTTGAATCGTTCTGAATCAAAACTACGTTTCATATCAACTCTCTATTCTCCGTCACTTGCTGTGTGTTTCACAGTGTGCGCCTCTAAACAGGCCTCTACTGCCCTCTTGTGTTCAATGAGGAGTTACAACCCATTAGCTCACATTTCTTCTCTATTATTATACACAGTGTGTGTACATACACATACACAAATGATTGAAAATGAACTGGCAAATAATTCAATAATCGTTTGCATTATTTTTAAGAAAAAAACAAATTGTTCTTGCTTCTGACATGTGAAGATTTACTGTTTTTCCTTGTAATAATTGAACTAATTCTAATTTAAGTTTAATAATGTTGAGGTTTGGACAAAACAAACATTGTAAATGTGTCACTTTAAAGGCAATCAATCAATCAATTAATGGAGAAAATGGTCAGCAGATTAATCCACAATGAAATAATCATTAGATAATAATTCAAAATAAGCTCTGATTCAACCAAATACAACAGTAAAATCCTGCTTTTACGTCAATGCATGATTGATAATAATATAGTTTTAACTAGTACTGTAAAACAGTCACAGGGTATCTTTTCTGCTTTAAATACTTTCAACGCATTTTCCTGATTATACTCACTACTGTCACATTTTCAATGCAGTACTTTGACTTGTGATGTAGTATTTCCACAGTGTAGTATTAGTAAAGGAGTATAAGTACAATCAGTGATGGGATGAAACTAAGTTTTTTTGCCCAAGTACTGTGCTTAACTACAATTTTGAGGTACTTGTACTTTACTTGAGTATTTCCATTTTATGCTACTTTATACAAGTTATTTTATAGACTCAGACTATTAATACAGAACATAAATCAACTGTATGTATGTATTAATATAGATAAAACTATCCAGCAGTACGTAAAGTAATTAAAATGAGCTCCACCTTTACCAGCTGCAACATTAAAGTGATGAACACATAAAAGCATCTATTATTATAATATATTTTTCTGCATAATGAGTACTTTTGGTACTTTAAGTACCTATATTTTGAAGCTACTACTGAGGCTAAGCTGTACTTTTACTTAATTAACATTTTTAACGCAGGGCTATCATTTGTAATCCAGTATTGTTTTTACAGTGTGGTATTAGTACTTTTACTTGAGTAAAAAGATCTGAGTACTGCTACAGAAGATGCTGCTGACTTCACCACTCGCGCATGCGCAGCGGCTCCCTCTCCTCTCCTGCTCCTCTTCGATGACTGACCGACAGTGACCTCAGTTTCTGCAGCAGCGCACAACTTAAAAGACAGCACACGCGCCAAATAATACACCGCACGAGGAGGAGAGAGATGGCCGGTATATTCGGGAAGATCTTCGTGGGTATTTACGTGGAGATAAAACGCAGCGACGGTACGTAGACAGACACACTAACACCGCTCTCTCCATCCGGCGGGACCGGGTGAGAGAAGCTAACGTCAACGCTCACTGCAGAGGGCTGTTTTTGCAAAGCTAACAAGCAGCTACATGCTCTTTTTTCACCGGGTTGTCGTTACTACGAGCAGAGATTATATTTGTAATATCGTGTTAATGTCGACTGTCAGTCAGGTAGACTCTCGCCGGCTTTCCGGCCCGAGGAGCGCGCTTTGCTGCACGGGCGGGTCCGTCCACCTGTGCGGCTGTCCGGCCAAATACAAAATAAAAATAAAAAATGCCACCTGCTTTTTTCTGGTTCCTCAGCAATCTCTCGTCTGCATCATGGCTAAAAACGGATGAGATGCATGTTATCACCTGCACTGCATCATCCAGCAGTGGCCTGTGGATCATGGGCTGATGGATGGCTGCATGCATGGGGCCTCTCGCTTTAAAAACAGCTTTGTGCACATCATTGTTATTATTATTAACGACACAAATGTGTGGACCAGGGCTGCCATGAGTCTAATTACCTTCCATTAAATGCAGCTCTTGAAGGTGTCAATGACAGGAGGCGAGAAGTCTTCATCATCCATCCATCACGAGCCACACCCATTAGCATCTCAGGGTTCCTATACTAGAGGCAGGAATCCGAAATCTTATATTTGATATTTGATGCATTGATGGATGATGCATGGCTGTCTGCCTCCTGTGATTTAAAGGCTGAAGCAGCATTTATATATATATATATATATATATATCCTATAACTCTACGGTCCCGTGCAGCACTTGAGCCGGTACTAGCATCTCTTTACATCCTCTCACCTTGCAGGACGAATACACCAGGCCATGGTCACGTCACTGCACGAGGACAATGACAGCGTGACGGTGGAGTGGATCGAGAACGGAGACACCAAAGGGAAAGAGGTATGTGCTGCCTCTTAACTTCCTGTATTGTGCACCTGGATGTCCTCTAAGCTTGGGTTTGAATAGGAACCGCTTCCTGTCTCAGTGTCGAGTGTATCGCAATAAAGCAGCCTACAACGAGCTGGAATTAACAGGCGACGTGTCGCTTTAGGCCTTTAAGGAAAGAAGAAAAACATCAATGTAACAGCTGATTACAAACTTTTGTACGGCAGCGTAAAATATATTAAATACTGTGTACTACATGGAGAAAGTAGGCAGGTAGACACTAACAACAAGAAGAGAACTACACATTCATTTTTAGTTATAAATGTCGATAAAACTATAGTTCATCAGGAGTAAATACTGAACCTGGGTCGACTGGCTTCCACGACTTTGCACCATACAAACAGACATTTTGAACATTTTTAGATGCTTGTGTGTCTCGTCTGTGTTCCGTTTCTTCTTCTACTTCTATAAAGAGCCGAAGTCGTGACATCACTTCCTGTCTTAGCCTCTGTTTACACTCGCTTCTTGAGCTCAATGCAAAATCTCATCCAGCATTTCTTTCATTGTGTCTTTCTGAAAAAGAATGAAGCGTGTTCCTGAGGTTAACTTTCCACATTCTAAGACAAACGTTTCCTTTGCGAGCACAGGCATGAAACTACAACTCCCATGAGAAAAACTACAAACGCAGCAGCTTGAGTACTTTTGTCCATAAAACTCAAACTCTCTCTCTTACTCCTCTCCTAATGTTCTAGTTGTAATGTCTCGAGTCCTCTCTGCTCTGGCCTCTTCTGTGGAGCCGGGACATTTAGTCCACGACACTCTCGGGCTTCTGGGAAATGGTGTTCGTTAAAGGCAACTAGAGCACTGTCCTTAACTAAACCTTATGAAGAGAGCGACTCGACGTAGTCTTTTGTTACAAACGTCAATGGGATCCTGAATGAGGTTTTTTAACTTCTGGAACAGAACTTTGGAAGTTCTCGTTTCACTTCTCTACACTCGGGTCTCTCTTGCAAAAGAGATCTTGAGAATTGCCTGATTTGTGTCTTTGTTTCTGCCTCAGATCGATCTGGAGAGCGTCTTCGCTCTGAATGCAGATGTTGCTCCAGATGAGGAGATACCTCAGAGTCCCGAAGCTCCTCTTCCTCCCTCGAGTGTTGCCAAAACCAGCAAACTCCCCAAGGTCTGCTCCTCTCCATTATCAATCCCTTTGTTTGCATTGTTTTACTTTGCTGGGGACATGTTTGACTGGAGGTCTGGGTCTAAGCTAAAGGGTACTATTATAATCTGTTATTATTATTGGAAAGCTCCTTTTTGTAAAATAATGAGTTAACTGTTTGTCATAACTTTTATTTTTATTTGTGAAAAAATATAATTGAAAAGTTTTCCGAATCTGCTCATTTGATTGACAGAATATGATATTATAGAGCAACACTGCCGGAAGAATTAAATGTTCAGACAAAGGCTGATACGTGTAAATAATAAAACACATACTTATACATGCAACTATAGCATGTTTTGACTTTAAGCTTTTTGTGTGTCATTTAAAGTAATAATAAAGGATGTGAATCTGCAGTTTTAAGTCTAGAATCTTACCCTCCACAAACATAAAAAAGCTTTATGTTGAACCCAGTGTTTATTACCAGAGAGGCAGAATGATTGCTTCACACAAGCTGCACCAGTTAAACAAACAGGAAGCAGTATGATGAGGATGTTTTATTGTTTTATGAATGACATGAGCAGATTTAGACGCTTCATATACTTTACTGCTTTTTGGACCTTTTCCAATCACACGCCTGCTTACCATACATTTACACGATGACGGATTATTGAATTGATTAATAGATAACTGTGGTTTCAAACCTAGTGTGACACTATTAGAGATGCAACATGATTACAGATTTGTATTTATTGTATATTTGTATACATATTTGTATGCTCCTGTATTTAAATGAAGGTTGACGGTGAAGGATACCCATTGTTGTAGGTGAACGTCTCTTTAATCGAGCAGTGTTCTTGAACAATGTCTGTCTTTTTGACTCTGTTGTGGTCTCTGGTTCCGTCTCTTTGTTCCGTTTCTATTTTCAGACCAAACGGACTACAGCGATACCTAAACCTGAGAATCCTCCACGAGAGAACAGAGGTATGTTTGACTTACATCAGAGGCTTTCATTCACTCTAATACTCTAAAACACTTAGTGCCCGATTGCCACAGTCTGCGTCTTAACTCGCAGACACGCTGCACATGCTTTGTGTTGTCTGTGTGCTCCTCAGCTGCAGCAGTGGGAACCACCCGGGCCCGTCCCAGCCAGCAGAGCCAGGCTGCAGAGCCGCCCCCCCCGGCCATCGCACCCCAGTCTGCACTCAACCAGTCGCTGCTGCAGCAGCAGAACGGTAACACGGACTCCCTCCATCTGGTCACACATGTCAGAGGTTTACTCCAGCCCTACAGGCTCTAGCTTTATCATACCTGAGGTGCATTCAGGGTGGTGGTGTGTTGTTGTTTTCTGAGATGACACAACCGGTGATGTCATGCTCCAGCACAGCTGCGAGGGCGTCAAAGGCTCTTTCACAGTCGCTCACTGGTTCGGCTGCTGGACTTTGACTCAGACCACAGCGCCTGTTTGAGCTTATTAGCATAAATGTACGCTACTGTGGAAATAAAACACATCTACTGATTCATTACATGTAAAAGTCCTGCATTCAAACTTCAAGTAAAAGTATGCAAGTATCATCAGAATGTACTACAAGTATCAGAGTTTCACGTCACTGTATTTGCATTTCTTCGGCGCTGTGTTCGCTGTCTTTGTAGCTTCCTGTTGGATGTTTGCTTATGATCTGGAGCCTCGTTGCTACGTTTTTATTGAGGTGGTGGCACAGAAACCGCCACACACTTTTAGTGGTCGTAAGTGATGATGAGGGGGATTATTTTTGTGCTGCCTTTAGATCATTTAGTTTGTTAGTTGTGATTATTTTGCTCCTCTTTCTGTTCCAGCACGGAAAAAATCCAACTGTGTGAAGGAAGTTGAGAAACTGCAGGAGAAACGAGAGAAGAGACGACTTCAGCAACAAGAGCTCAGAGAGAAGAGGGCACAAGTGAGGAGCACACACACACACACACACACAGTATACATACAGTACACATGCAGTACACACACACACAGTAGAGTGCAAACACACAGCATCCGAGTTTGGGAACTATATTTGGTTTAGATCAACAAACATGAGACAGTATAAAGTCCATTCTCAGTGTTTGTGACCTGGATGTTTAAAGTTTATATATCCAATTAAAGAAGGTACTTTTCATTTGCTTCACAATAAATACACACACACGACGTTTACTGTCTTTTTTGGGAGTACGTTTCATTTGACACTTTTGTTTTTTTTTGTTCCATTTCAGGAGGTGGACGTGCAATTGCCAAACTATGAGATCATGTGTATGATCAGAGACTTCAGAGCCAGCCTGGACTACCGGCCGTTAACCAGTACTGATCTGGATCTGGTGAGTCCAGCGCACGTCACTTGTGATGCAGCTAAAAGAAAACAAGTGTTTTGAGCTTCAGTGAAGAGCTGAAACGAGCCGATACAGAATATTTGTGAATTTATCTGTAATGTCTGAATGTACAATGTTTACCTTTTGATGTTTCAGATCGATGAGCACAGGATATGTGTGTGTGTACGTGCACGTCCCCTTAATAAAAAAGGTAAGAGTGGCTTTATACAAACAGAGTAAAGCTACATGTGCCTCACGTTCTGTCTGAACAAACTGCAGTTCTCTTTGTAATAAATTGTTTCTGTAAATGAGGAAATTAAATCTGTCTTTAGAGCTGACGATGAAGGATCTGGACGTGATCACGGTTCCCAGTAAGGACGTGGTGATGGTCCATGAGCCCAAGCAGAAGGTGGACCTGACCCGCTACCTGGAGAACCAAACCTTTAGATTCGACTACGCCTTCGACGAGAATTCCACCAACGAGATGGTCTACAGGTAACGCGTGCTTTATTATGGAACAACATGTAATAAAATAGCTTTTCAGCATTAAAATGTCTCAAAACAACAGGACATAGGTATGTACGTTGTTGAGTTGTGTGCTTACAACATAACAAACGTTTACAACTAATTCAAATCGGAGTCATTTGAAACCAGATAACTGTGATTCATTCAGTCGCCTGCCAGAATAACCTCTTTGTGCAGCGTCAGCGTTGTGGTTGTCAAGTCATAAATTCATTTTTTGATCTAGTCCAAGCCATATTTTTACGATGCACTTCATAGATCTTGGTGTTTTTGAACCGGATGAAGGATTTCTGGATTCCTAAGTTATCAGAGAAACAAGCTGAGCAATAGTTAGCAGCTCGGCTCGCAGCTCCTGCGGGACGTCCTGCAATGAAGACTACAACTCCCATGATCCCACGCTCCTTCACAACGTCACCAAAGTCTTTTGTTACTGTTTTGATAAAAGAGAAAATTACTTATTTGCTCTTCCTCTCTCAGGTTCACTGCTCAGCCGCTGGTTGAGACCATTTTTGAGCGAGGGATGGCGACCTGCTTTGCTTACGGACAAACAGGAAGTGGAAAAACTCACGTGAGTGCCTTCAACTTAAGAGGAGTTTAGTGGTTTTAATGGTTTTCTCCTCTTCTAACTAACTCATTTCTCCTTTCAGACGATGGGAGGCGACTTTTCAGGGAAGAACCAGGACTGCTCTAAAGGGATCTATGCACTCTCTGGTTGGTTTCTCCCGTTAAGTTCCTCTCTGTCGTCACTGCTGCTTACTGCATCTGACTGAATTTAAGTCTCCTTTTTTTATTTCTTTCCTTGTGCAGCCAGAGATGTTTTTCTCATGATAAAGAAGCCAAATTACAAGAAGTTGGATCTTCAAATCTTTGCCACATTTTTTGAGATTTACAGCGGGAAGGCAAGTGTCTTTTAAACGTGATTAGTGTTGACTTTATTTCATAAGGAAGACTGAGTTTGTGTTGCTTCTGAACCTTTTAGTGCAAAGGTCGTGAGCCGGTATTTATGAAGAGGTTTTGAAGCCTTGAGTTCGGCATTGTGGCCGTCGCCATCTTGTTTTTTTGCAACCAGTAAGCAGGAAGTGTCCATATTTGGACTGAGGAGCAGTGACGTAGAGACGACGTATACGTCTCTGGTAGAGACCTGTCAATC